GGTTGCTCCGGGGAGTGGAGCGCGGGGCAGTGGCAGGGAAAGAACACTCCCAGCCAAACGGGCACCACAATGACCCTTGGTTTTGTGTGTCTCTCTGCAGGTGGTGAAGGCCACCAACAGGGTGCTGCTCCGTAGAGTCGTCCGCCTCACCGACCTGGGATCGTATCATCCAGGGATACAGCGCCCTCAGCTTCCCCAACTGCAGGGGGGGCGGCAATCGATGGGACTCACATCCTCATCCGTGCCCCGGGCCACCAGGCCTCCCTCTTCATCAACAGGAAGGGGTACCTCTCGGTGATCCTGCAGGCCGTGTCTGACCATGGAACTGGCACAGATGAGAGAAATAGCCTAGTGCATATTAGGATAGCAGAAAATGAGGTGACAGATAAAGTAGCAAAAAATGCTGGAAAAATGGAGGGAAATGACAGAGAGATCTCTCAGTAAACAGGCATTTACAGGTATTCCACGAGGAGTAACGGTAGTTCGAACTAGGAAGCCTAGTTCGAACTACCTAGTTCGTGCCGCGTGTAGCCGCGCTACACGGGGTTCGAACGAGCGGAGATTTTAAAATGGTGGCGCCCCGCTTATGCAAATGAAGCCCGGTAAATTCAAATCCCGGGCTTCATTTGCAAGTGCGGTATGCCTACATTACCCCGCTAGTTCGAAGTAGGAGGGTAGTGTAGACATACCCCATCTGCCTTCAGCATTGCTTGTATGTCTCAAACAGCATCCAACATCCTTCGTGTCAATGTCTAGAGTTTTCGTTGACAACCTGGCCTGGGCTAGTTTCTAGGTGACATTGGATCAACCATGTTTTCCCTGGACCTTTGAAGAACCCTGCTGCAAAATCCTCCATTACTTGGACAAGTGACTTCCTTTGTGCAGAAGATAGACCCTTATCCTCTTGCTATTGTCGCTAAAGCTTCACCACTGGTTATCTGGTTCTGCTGGAATAGGAGGCATTCTAACAGCCTCCCAGCTCCTCCAAGGTTTGAAAATGCTCATAAATCAAGAAGACCTTGATTTCATTCCTCCACCAATATCGTCTGATCTCATAGTCCATGGACTTTACCTGCCTGACAACTGTGACTGGGCCCTGATGTTGGGCTATTAATTTGGGCTTGGCTGAGGGCAGTAGTAGAAGAACATGATTACCCATCTGTAAAATCTGTAGTCATGCCCCTCATGGTAACAGTGTTCTTAGGAGTCCTGGGCCTTCCTCAGATCCTCCCTGGAAAACACCCCTCACATTTCCAAATTGCTCCCTTAACTGTAAGATACATTAGGCCATGTTTAAGCCCCCCATGTCTTGCTCTTCCCAGCCTTCTCATAGCAGGTCCAAGACGCTTTAAGATGGCAATCATAAAGCAACTCAAATGAGTAAAACCAAAGAGAGGTTTGTGGGACCTCCATTATGGCAAACTGGAGCAGTTGCTCCTATTGCCCACAAAAATAGCATGTTAACAGGCTGGGGTTGCTGGCCTCTTTCCTAGATGTAGAGAAACCCACTTGCAGGAAACTGTCCTGACCTCTATCTGTGAGCCCTGCTACAGTTATCTGGGGTGGTCTGCCAGTCCCACTGGGAGAATTGCACCCGCCCTCCTTGCCTCTCTATGGCTGCCTCAGACCTAAAGGGCAGTCCTCTCATCCAGGAGGACTTCTTTAGGATCAACCCCCTGTGGTCGACTGCTGAGAGTTCTCTCACCCTCTCCTGGGTCCCCTGCCCTACTGATGTATGGGGTGATTCTGCCTTTCGGTGACCCTTCCGCTCCTCCGTTAACCTGACTGCTTCTAATAGTGGCCCTAGGTGATTCTGTAGCATCCACTCTCCTGTCCTCCATGGGCAGTATCTTTATAAATTGCTCTGCCACACTAGTCTCAGACACTTGAGTCCCCAAGTGTTCCTCTGGGCAGAGCCACTGCCAGCAGCATTCCTTCAGCTGATATGTTACCTTTGGGGCCTATGTGCCTTGGGATCTATCTTGGTCATAAAGCATTGGCAATGAGTCTGTTCTGAAATATCCAAACAGGTAAAGATGGCGGATTTCACTTGCTTGGAATCTTTCATCCACTCTGAGTCCAGATTATGGCAGGTGCACGATACCAGAACTGTTAAGTATGGTGGCAGAATTGGAATCCATTGAGGGGGGTGTCTGATTGCTAGTGCCACCACCTCAAATGTGACTGAAAAGGCTTCAAGATCATCCTCCAGTCGACTGTGATGAGCTTCACTGGTGCAGGGGGAAGCACTCCTTCAATGGAAGCATAATTTCCCCATCTCTCCTTGTGAGCATACTGGTGCAGGGGGAAGCACTCCTTCAATGGAAGCATAACTTCCCCATCTCTCCTAGTGAGGTCCGGCACTATCTGCTGTAACATTTCCTTTGGGTGCTCTTGCCGCTGGGTCATCTGTTTCTTCCGCAGGTATTGTTTTGGGTGCCTTTAAACTGCTGCTGGATCAGCCACTGCTACAGCAACTGCAGTTGCTTAGTAGCTTGCTGCTGTTTCTTCACTGCCCACTTATACCACCACTCTGGTTTCATTGTGTGTAGAGCAGCTGAATTCAAATCACCTTAAAGGGTTTTTTTTCCCCTTATATCAAGCATAATATACCCACGTTCTCCACCATTTGTGTGGGTAGTGGGGGACTCCCTGGCTCCCTTTTCTCCCCAAGTCCCACTGTCCTTTATCCAGCTGGCAACCCTTAAGGGAGCTCTCTGAGGGCAACTGCCCACAAGAAGGGGGCTGGCTCTTCCTTTTCCCTTCCCCATGCAAGAGGTGGAAGACTTGGCCGGTATGAGGACCAGTCTGTTAGGAAGCCCCTGAAGGCACCAGTTCAAAAGTCTTTGTCTATTGCTGCTTCACAGGGTTTATCTTCTACTCCTCTTCCTAGAGCGTATTGCTTTGTCATGAGCCATTACGGCTTTAGGACAGTGTGTGTCACAGCTATCGCCTCCTCAGCTAGACGTATCTGTTACCAGCAGTCTCTGGGTGGAACAGACATCTTCCTGTTCATCACACCTTCCTGTGGTAGTTCCCCACATTTAAGCTGAGCTCCTCACCTCCGAGGTGAACACAGCTTGCCAGTATGTCTCATCAGCATGGAACAGGTCCAGAGGAGATCACTGGCTTCCTCCATAACAGTTCAGGCAACTCATTACAGGGGGGCCGGGCTAAAGCTTCTCCAACTACACTGGGGCACTCTTCCATTCAGTGCAGTGGCTGCTGTCAATAGAGCCTGGCTGGGGAAGGGCAGCAATGGCAGGCTGCTCCCCCTCTCCCGCACAGACTCAGTTGCCTGAGACATCTCCCCACCACTCTCTTGGGCACTTTCGGCCCCCGTCCCCAGAAGCAGAGCCTGGGCAGGAAATGGGCTGCAGCCACCATTCCCCAGCTAGACTCTCTCCCAGGCAGCTGTTGCTGTGCAGCGAACATGCAGGAGAGGAAAGACTCCAATATACTCAGCCCGTCTTGGAAGCTAGTCTGGGCAGTGTCTGCTGCGTCCACCCACCCCAGCCAGCTGGCTAAAGTGTAAAGAACAGTGACCAGGAGCCAGAAGCCAAAATACGCTGGCGGGCGGGGACAGGGAGGAGGAACTGACACAGCAGGAGGACCGAGTCCCTCCTCACCCACAGGGGGTGCGATAGAGAGAAGACACATGGAAGAGACATTGCTTGGTCTTCACTAGAATTTTACCTTGCTTGAGTTAAGAACACAGTGAAGGCAAGATCTCATCAAGGTTTCAAATGTATCTATCAATTGCCTAGTTACTGGCAACAAAGGCATCGCTGTAAATCAGTAAAACAGGTCAAAATCTGCCAGACCAAGTCATTCAGCTCTGTAGAGCAAGAGCTGAGCCTCTGACTGGGCGGGGCTGATTAATCATCTGTGAAGCTGTGCTGCCAAGCAGCTTAGAGGGAACACTGATCAATATCACTTACTTTGCTAATACTATGATATAAAAATGAAACAATCATGAAATACTATATTTACTGGCAATATTCTGAAAAGATAAGAGGTAATTAAAGTCATCACTAAGGCAGCTAATCCATCTTCAGCTCATCCATTGAGCCTATATATTACATTATATGTCAGACTGAGCAATAGAATTAAATAATCATGGTATTTGCCCTTCTAGGGCACTTTTGATATAAGGAACATAAAGCACTTTCCCAACATTAATTAAGCCTCATAGCACATCCACATGGTAGGTACAATCACCAGTTTTATATATATATGGAAACTGAGGTATGTCAAAGCTAAAGTGATTAAGACACTTGCACAGGGTCACATAAGCAGTCTGGGCAGAGTGAGAAACAGAACGTAAGTTTCCTGTGATATAAATTCAAGATCATACTTCCTGTCCAGGCATAAAAAGCTGAAATCAGTCCAGAGGGTCAGCAATAAATGGGAATTTCCATATGCTCAATTTAGTTTGTAGCACAAAGATAGAGCAAAGATATTTTAACTTAAGAACTGCCAAATGTAGAAAGAGGAAGTTTTCTGTGCTAGAGTAAAGTTATTACAAAAGACCTCATGCCAACATTATTGCTGTGGTTTTCCTTTTTGCATTCAGCCAGTGATACTAACACTTTCAGCCTGGCTGAACAGGGTCCTCAGACTACTTTGTGGCAGATGCATCTTATGAAATCCAGCAAAAGAAAAACATTACCCAAGTCTTGTGTTGAAACCATGGCAGCTGCCTCCTGCGATGACACACATTCATTAACATTTCCATTAAAAGGGATTACAACATTGTCTCCTCGTTGCTGCTGCATTTTCTCTAGCAACTTGTCCAAATCATCACCTACGTAAGAATTTAACAAACAAAATGTGTCTGGAAGGAATTAAAGATGAGTGATGAAAATCTTTGTAACTGATGTGTTGCAATATGTCACATTCACTATCCTCAGTTTTACTAGTGACTTGGCATTTGCAAAATGTTTAACTCCAAAAGAAAACCAGAGTTGGATATTTCACAGCTCTTCCTTTGGAACTGGTAGTAATATTTGATGAAATCAAATATTGAACAAATGCCCTTCAAATATGTTGACTGAGTAGAACAATTCAACTTATGAAGTGGTTAAAACGGACTGAAACAGAATGGGGAAGCTCTCAGGGCCCAGCCAAGCAGGAGAGAAAACATGTCTTCATGGTCATTAACCAAAGCAATGAGAGGATGGGAGTTCTCCTTTGGCATTTAATAGGGGATGGGGAGCTGCATTTTGCCCACTGCTCCTTACGTTGACTCCTAAACAGAAGGTAACACAGAAGAATCAGGAGATTATTCTGTTAGTAGAAACTATCCTTAAACTCACTCACCTAAAGATGTGTTTTTGAAATGTGATGCCAGGAAACTAACTTTTCCTGTGATGAGCTCATAACTGATCTCTTTTAAAAACTCACTGGTTGTAAGCATGCTCTCTGCCAGTGCTCTAGACTGATACTGACCTAGAGAACAGAAAGGACAGATTGAGGTTAAAAACAGTGCATTCTCATTATAAATCCCCCAGTGTGTAATGGCCTTGTGGAAGTGATGGGCTCTACTAATGTTCAGCCTTTGGCTTCCATCCCCTTTTGTATAAGAAATTGTATGGGGGAAATGGGGCAATCAGAAAGAAACACAGTCAAGTCTATGCTGATGGGACACAGGAGAATACAGTAAAACCTATGTTATCCAGCACGCTCAGAGATTAGGGCGTTCTGGTTATCTAAAAATTCTGGTTATCCGAGGGTCCCATCAACCTAGGAAAAACCAATGGACAATAATAGTAAAACTCAAGTTTTAATACTGGCAGTTTTGTAGTGTGAGGCAGTTGGTTTAATTTCTATTTTAAGTTAAAGATGATTAGTACTTCTTAAATAAAAAATTGTTAAGCCAGTCATGGTAAACCAAGCCAGGCCTGTGTGCCTGAAGGTGTGACAGTATTGTGGCTGCGGGCAATGCAGGTTAAAGTTTTCTGGTTAACAGAGCGCCGGATAACAGAGGTTTCACTGTATTTTGTGCCATTTTAGCACATTCTTTGCAAAGCTATTGTCCATAGTCGTGCTGGTCCATGAGCTATTCTCTGGCAAAAGGAGATATACAATGTAACCACTTGTTTTTCAGAAGGGATGGAAAATTCTGGTTAAAAAAAAAAACGAAGAGGAAGTTGCCCAATTTCTTTTCACTCTGGTAGACAAGACTAATTTGTTTATGTAACAAATGGTGCAATGTAGTCACGAATTCATATAAGGCGCACACAAATTTATTATAAAGGCCTGCTCTGAATAAAAAAAAACCAACCAAACAAAAAAAAAACCACACACCTATCTGGCAGATATAGTGCCCTGTATTTTATATTTAGAGCCCTACCATATTCAGTGATGAAAAATGTGTCATGTACTATGAAATCGTTTAAGTGCTTTTATCCTATACCATACAGATTTCACCAGAAAGACCAGCATTTCTCAAATTTGGGGTCCTGCCTAAAAGGATGCAGGAGGATCACAAGGTTATTTTAGGGGAGGTTCATGGTATTGCCACCCTAATTTCTGTGCTGCCTTCAGAGTCAGCAGCTGGTGAGTAGCAACAGCAGGTTAGGTGCCTAGCTCTGAAGGCAGCACCCCGTCAGCAGCAGCACTGAAATAAAGCTGTCAACACTGTATCATGCCACGTTTACTTCTGTGCTTCTGCCTTCAAAAGGTGGGTGGCCAAAGAGTGGCAGCTGCTGACAGGGTCTACCTCTGCAGACAGCAGCACAGAACTAAGGGTGGCAACACCATACCAAGCCATCATTACTTCTGCACTGAGGCTGGCAGTGGCTCTGCCTTCAGAGCTGGGCTCCCAGCAACTCACCACCACTCTCCAGCTGCCCAGCTCTGAAGGCAGTGCACGACCAGAAGCAGCACAGTACCACAACCCTCCTACAAAAATCTTGAGACCGCCACAAAAAAAAATTCTTTTCTTGGATCAGGACCCCTACAGTTACAACACTGTGAAATCTCAGGTTTAAATAGGCGAAATCATGAAATTTACTATTTTAAAAAGCCTCTGAACTTAAAATTGACCAAAATGGACCATGAATTTGTTATGACCCTATTCATATTTGTTATGCGAAATTACTGTAGTCTAGTAATTTGCATTAGGTTGTCAGCATTATGATGTAAGAATTGTATAGCTGTCATTTAAACTATGGAAAGAGGTACACACTATTTTGAATAAAGGACACTTTGGGTAATTTCCCAAGACAGCTATTCCAAAGAGCAAGGTTTCAGATATCCCAAGTAGAGTGACTCTGTGATGTTAGTGAATCTACTTCAGGGAGGAGCTGCTGGAAGAAATTACTTCACAAAATCCTGCTAGAGTAGGAAGAGAAAGGGGTAATATTATTGCACAGGTGTAAAAGGGGAACAAAAACTATTAAGAAAAGATTAAAGATGAACCACTTGATCAAAATGCTTAATGCAACTGCATTTGTAACCCCCTCATATAGTAAAGTTACTCACCTAAGACTACTACACAGAACTCATTTCCTCTATTCTTTGATGCACAGATTGCAACAACATAATCTGGTAGCCTTTGCTGATGTTTCATTTCATTGAGAGATCTCAGAGTTTCTGAAATGCCTTCAGCCAGAGAATTCTGGGTAACGACCACATGCACCAAGTCCCGAGATACACTTGTGATTAACCTAGCAAGCCAAGGGAGTTGACCTGGTGACACTGAGATACACTGACCACTCATTTGCAAGGATCGCTCTCTCAGTGTGAACTCCTGCATAGCTTTCAGCATGATCTGTTCAAATTCCTCCCTGAGGGGTATCTGGTCAGGACCTGCAATAGAAAAGATCACCATCTGTCATCAAAAAGTTGTCACACCAAGATCAATCACTTGCTCATCCATTTAGGACATTCTTTTAGCACAGTATTAGCATTATTCATATTTTTAAATGGATACTTAGCAACATGCACGTGTTCTCATTTCTTCTCTGTACAAGCCATTTTTTTAGATAACAAATTGTCATCTCTTTCCCATCTTCTTTGCCCTAAATAATCAGACTACTGAAAGCTAGACACAGCTAGCCTCCCATGGTTCTGAAATAAAAAAAATCTCAGCATTCACTCTCAAACTTTAATCACGCCCATGCCAGTTACCACAGATATCAGCGTGTCCAGCATTCTGCTTTTCCCCATTATCTCCACAGGTAAACTGAATGACTCCATATGTGTTACAGTAGCCTCTGTCTTCATGCGGTTTCCATTGTACACAGGGTTTACAGTTTGGTTTAGTGGCTGTCAGCAACCCCGCTATACAAATCATTTCAGCGCCCATGTTTGATTCTGATTTTTTCAATAATGTAATGTAACAAAACTTCAAACTTCTAATCTTAAGAGTTGTATATATTAAGGGTTTTCGAACTCTGGGTCACTGCTTGCAAGGGAAAGCCAATAGCTGGCTGCGAGATGCTTTGTTTATCTGCCCCTCCACAGGTACAGGTGATCTCAGCTTCAGTTGGCTGTGGATTGCTGTTCTTGGCCAAAGGGAGCTGCGGGAAGAGGTGTCCTTGGAACGGCAATCCATGGTCAATGGGAGTTGGGATCGCTTATACCTACCGAGGTGCAGGCAAACAAAGCATCTCACAGCCAGCTTATAAGCAGCAACCCAGAGTTTAAAAACCCCTGATATATACAATGCTGGAACTTGTTTGCTGGGCTTTCAAAATTCATGTCATGAATCTGAAATGGTGAGTTAGAGGCTTTATACCTCAGTATCGATCCCTAGAATCACCCACATTTATTAACATTTGCCTCATTAAAACAAATCTGTTGAGCACTTCCAAGGATATCCTCGCACAGGGAAAACAATATATATCTATATAGATATAGATATAGATATAGATCAGAAAATATAACCATATTTTGCCAAACTCCCTCCCTAGTGCCACAGGCAATAGATTCACATTTCAGCAATTTGATCTTCAATACCGAAGAGCAGCCATTCTGCAACTAATTTATATAAAAGGCCCAAATTCACTTCAGGGTTATTTCAAGGCAAAATATATATATACACATATATAGTGGGTAAAGTGAAAAGGAAAAGAACTAAAAGGAGTAGTTTTCTGGTATGTGGAGAAAGAAATTGTTAGAGTACTTTGCAAAAAATCTGGAAGCAGCTTTTCATGACAAAAGCCTACCCATATACCACCATTGCTAGCTAATGCACATTTGTTAGACACATTAATATTGTATTATACCCAGGATGTGGGCAATTACATTAAGTGAATTCTCTTCTGTCTTTCCCCCTTTCGGTACATATATCTTTATAACTTCCCTTTAGAATGGCTTCAGTTTCTGAGATTATAAAAATATCACATCTCAGATCACTGAAGAGAAGAGTAGGGGGGAAATAATTGGTAATGGTTTGCTAAAACTGTTGTTGAAGATCTGGAGGGAGAAATGATCACCATCATGAAAGACTGCACAATATCTGCAACGTACCACAGAAAAGAACTAATCACTACTAAAAGCAAAACTGGCCAAATGAGATCAGTTACGTAAGACAAAAATTTTGGAGCTCAAAGGAGATCAAGTAAACCCAAGACTGATGGAAGCAATTATATAAATGGGAAGATCCCAAAGCAAGAAGGACTTAGTGAGATTCTAAGTGATGTCATTATACTTAATCAAATTCATCCCCAATTTGCCACATTAGAATGCTGCTTAAGAACAAGACAGAACTGCATTTGAATAAATAAGAGAAAAAAAATTCAGAATTAAACTACATTGTCAGAGTCAGCAATATGGAAATATTTGCAGATTAACAAAGAGTCTATTATCATAAGTAAAGTACCGTATATTCCGGCGTACAAGACGACCCCCGATTTTTGGGGGATGTTTTTTCACTTCAGAGGTCGTCTTGTACGCCGGATGCCCCGCCGCCGGAGCCCCTCCGAGGCTTTCAAAGCCGCGGAGGGGCTCCGACGGCGGGGCATCCGGCGTACAAGACGACCCCCGATTTTTGGGGGATGTTTTTTCACTTCAGAGGTCGTCTTGTACGCCGGATGCCCCGCCGCCGGAGCCCCTCCGAGGCTTTCAAAGCCGCGGAGGGGCTCCGACGGCGGGGCATCCGGCGTACAAGACGACCCCCGATTTTTGGGGGATGTTTTTTCACTTCAGAGGTCGTCTTGTACGCCGGATGCCCCGCCGCCGGAGCCCCTCCGAGGCTTTCAAAGCCGCGGAGGGGCTCCGACGGCGGGGCATCCGGCGTACAAGACGACCCCCGATTTTTGGGGGATGTTTTTTCACTTCAGAGGTCGTCTTGTACGCCGGATGCCCCGCCGCCGGAGCCCCTCCGCGGCTTTGCTCCCGGTGCCTCTGGTCTGCTGGGGACCATCTCCAGCAGACCAGGGACACCGGGAGCAAAGGAGGCGGAAGGGCGCTGGGTATAAGATGAAACCCTATCTTTTAATTAAAAAGATAGGGGGTCGTCTTATACGCCCAGTCGCCCTATACGCCGGAAAATACGGTATAATCACATGGTCCCTAAGTTATCCTTCTTCATGGTGATAATCTAGTGGTATATGTTTCCAAAGTACTGATGGATAGTCAACAGAATTATGATCAGATGGAAAAAAGAAATTTAGATATTGATCTTGATTGTGAACCTCTTCATGAGCGTAACTTGAACTTCTCGAGCTAGAAACAGGCCAAATATTGCTGTAAGGCTCAGTTCAGAAACCACTGTGCAAAGTACCATTTAAACTTCAAAAAACAATAATGATATTTCAAACATGCACATTAACTGTAAAATTCAATTTGGTAAAGAACTTCTTAATGCGAACATGTTTTCAAGAGTGTCCGTAACCAAAGAAAGCAAGGAGCAGCAGGAAAGAGGCTTTGATGTAAATTGATTGAAGTGCTACCAAATTCTGAAAAGCACCAATAAGAAACAAATAAATTCTAAAACGGTGGCCAGCAAAAACCAAACAAACAAACAAGCAAACAACAAAACCCACCAACTCCATACAATTTACTAGGGAGATGAAATTGCTACATATGATGAGATTCTGTTCAAAGGACATTGCATCATAATACCTGAAAACATGAGGTTGAAAAATAGTAAGTATAACCCACAATGTCCATAAGGGCACTCTATGGTGTACTAAAAGATGTACCACATTTCACCCATCAATGTTGCCATCCAAGAAAAAGGCTGTCAATGTGAAGTTGCAATGAAGTAAAGAATGTAAAAGAACCACTGAAACCACACAGGTTTCCTAACGGCTTTTGATCTAGAAAAATTACAATTTGTTAATGGGGTTACTGCTCAGTTAAAAAAAACACCTTAGGTATTGCACGATACAATGTTACAACTCACACCAAAAATTGCATTTTTCTACAGATGAATCAACAACAGAAAGTGGCCCACAACCACAAATGGCTCTGTTTTGCAACAGTCTGTGGTATCAGCTTAGGCACATTATAAAAAAAGCCCTCATCTAGGCACAGTCAAAATGAGTTAGCTGAAAAAATCGGCATAAAGAGGAAATAAATTGATAACAAAAAAAGAATTCCAGAAGGCCACAGCATATTACCACACGACTCACAATCTTTGTATCACCTGTTCAGAGAGATTAATAGGCTATAGGCATTGGCACTATGGTTTTTGCCCTCACAAGTTTCTTGAACCAAAGGCAATTAACTCTCAAAGTTATGGAAGAGTTAGCAGAAGAGAAGAAAATACTGTGACAAGAATGCCAAACAATTACTCACCAAACTAATAGGAGAGAATGTTGGGTGGCTCCCTGCCAAGTAAAAGCTACATCATCTGCACCAAAAGTAATGAATCATAAATCATCCCAACCACCAGTAAAGAAGAATAGGAACCCTAAACAAAACCAGAGATGACATGGACTCTCTTTTTCCTGTGAGCATCACAACGCTAAGAAAGTGTTCTTGTGGTGATCCAAGCAATACATGCCCACCCACCTACTGACCATGAAAAACACCAGGAGGAGTAAACACAACAGAGATTATTTTATCTGGCACTGGTTATGCAATACTGTGCCCAGTTCTGACATCTACAACTCAAGAAGGATGTTGGTAATTGAAGCAGGTTCAGAGAAGAGCCACAGAATGATTAAAGGATTAGAAAATATGCTTTACGGTGATAAGAGTCAAGGAGTTCAATCGATGTAGCTTAACAAAGGCTATGTCTAGACTACATCCCTCTTTCTAAAGAGGGATGTAAATTAGACATACTGTACTGAAATTACAACAAATGTAGCTGGGATTTGAATTTCCTGTGCTTCATTTGCATAATCATGTCATGGCATTTTTTTGAAAAACGCTATTTTGAAAGTGAAATCATGGTCTAGACGTGGTTCTTTCAAAAAGAAAAGCCTTTTTCGAAAGATCCTGTAAATCTCATTTTTTGAGGAGTACAGAATCTTTCAAAAAAGGCTTTTCTTTTAGAAAGAACCGCGTTTAGACCATGGTTTCACTTTTGAAATAGAGTTTTTAGAAAAAACACTGTGATGCAATTATGCAAATGAAGCGCAGGAAATTCAAATCTTAGTTTAATTTGCAATTTTGATATGTCTAATTTACATCCTTCTTTCGGAAGAGGGATGTAGTTTAGACATCCCAAAGAGAAAATTAGGAGGTTGACTTTCCCAAGTACCTACATAGGAAACACTCAATAATGGACCCTTCAGTCTAGAAGAAACAGGTACAACATAATTCAATGGCTCAAGGTTGAAGCTAGACAAAGTCAGATGGGAAATAAGTGTAAATGTTTACAGTCAGAGTAATTACCAGTTGGAACAACTTAC